AGTCTGTGGGCGTGCATTTTCTAGGTGTGCGTGATTCTTTTTATTGATATTACGAGCCGACACGCTTGTTGGCTAGTTTTTTTATTTTTTTTTGGATTAAATCAGGTTAAGTGATCTTTTCTTTGGTCGGTATACTTGACAGTGTTATGTGGGTGTGAGTTGAGGCAGTATTGCTATGCCCTGTGTGACTGTGTCAAGTCTGACTACGGTGCCGCAAGCTTCAAACGTGGCGATTTTGATTTTATTAAAATGGATTTTTAACCCGTGAAGCGCACAGGGACGGACATGAGGTGGATACAACCCAGAAAACCTCTTAAATATTGTTCTTGTACTTGTTCAAGAGATGTTTGATCTCATTTACAGCACAAAGTAAGACAACAGTTAGGCCGCTGCAGGCAGTTAGGGGCTTGAAGGGACACACTGGTGCCCCCCACTGCCCCGGGCTGGCCCTAGCTGGCAACCTCCAAGAGGTGGAGCAGAGCATTGGAACAAGGGACGCTGGACCCAGTTTCCAGCAGTGGTGAACCCTCTATGAGGTTATCTCAACCCTTAAATCATTTCGTTATAATCATTCTGCTTTTCATAAGGGACACTGGGCCCTGTAATGAACCCAATCTCGTCTGTCCAGCAATACAGCAAATCGATAAAGAGCAATGTTGTGTGACAATTGTCCGGGAGTAATCAGTCAAACGGGAACACAATGAAGCACCCGATCTTCTGCTGCCGCGTGTACATTTCCCATTCCAAGCGTGATTAGACCAGAACAGCAAAGGGGAAGGATAGACAGATAGAATGAGAAAAGAGGAAGTAGCGATCATGTCCCTCTTCTCCACCAAGTGCACCGGCTGACCGGGCTCCTCCACCTCTGACACATCAGCAGTCTGATCACAATCTGACATGTGGAGAATGCAGCCTTATCTTTGAAGAGCACACCTCCGTTGATGAACAGCATAAGCAGTGGTGAGTCGTCGACTCGCCCGTGACAAGGGAGACCAGGTACGTACACACGATATCTCTCTTCACCCACACTCTCTCTCACTCTCCTCACTACCTCGCCGTTGTCAATGGCCGCAGCAGTGGCTGTCGTCACCTCTCTCTCCTCTCCTACTACATTACCTGGCTGGCGCTCACGAAGCAGACTGGCACCAGCACCCAAATCTCAAGTCTCACGTGCAGCATTGAAGCCGCGACAAGACAGAATGCCCAAGTGGTGGGGAAGTCAACTCTATATAGCATTGACTCGTGGTCACCAGGGCCAGCTTCAGTCACAATAAGGCCATGCAATTTGTCCCAGTTCCTGGCTGGACTTCATGAGGCCTGAATCTTCTGCCAGTGAAACCTGCAGAGCACTCAGGCTGTTAGATTATTCCCAATCTACGGCCAGAAAATCTTATGTATTGACTTTGACATTTCGGATCTGGCCCTGGGTCCACGAGCTGACTGTGGACTTTCAGTCAACTGTCGGTCTGGCCTTCGGCCTTTTCCCTTTGGCCTGTTTGGCTTGCCTGGGGCCCTGGTCATTTGTGCAAGCCTGGGGCGCGGCCTAAGCCCGTCAGGGGGTTCAATTTTAATTTGCACACGGAGTACAGCAGCCCGGTTCCCAGCCCGTGATGCTCCCCACGAATAGACTGGAGCCTGTGTTTCCACAAAAAACAAAAAAAAAGATAAGGAACAACAAAGTAAAAGGCCCTCTTCCTTTTAGATCTACGTCACAGAGCAAGTGTCACGTCTGACTGACCATAGACCAGTTCAAAAGCCCATCTTTTTTTTTTTTTTCGTTATCGTTTATGTCCGTCTTCTCGTTACTCCTATCTGTCCGCCAGACTGCCATTTTGTATCACCGCTCTTCGTCTCTAGGTTGTGCAAACGGTCATAGATGAACACATAGTCTATAGCTATGGGAGAAAAAACCTTATTAGAGTTATGGGAGAAAAAAACCTTATCCATCTTGTAAATAGAAGTCGTAGCAGAGAACTCCATTGTCGGAACATTTCGTCATTTAAACTACAGAAAAAAACGGATGGTGCCAAATTGCCAATCTGCCCTTTCAGAAGTAGTTAGGTTGAACCGTTGGACAGCTCGGAGCTCGCTGCCATCTTAGCTTCCAGTTCACGTATCTCTTCGCGTCTACCCTTCTTCCCCCGAATACAACGGACGGTCACGATAGCTGTATATAGACTGAAAGATACCCCAAATTCAGCTATTATGACCTTCGCGAGAGAATTCACAACAGGCGCCCGTTTCCACAGGGCCACAGGCCCCAGAGAGTCTTTTTTTCCAGGGGCGAAGTTTTTATCGCTTTTCTTTTCTGTTTGTTCTCCTTTCTCTTACACACGCCCCCCCCCCAATCCCCATTTGGTAAAGAAACGGGCACCACGAGGAGAGGGCAACGCTTCACCAACTCCCACAGGGCGCACACACACAAAAGAAGAAGTATACCTACAGGTGCTGAGTGGACGAAAAAAAAAAAAAAAAACAACTAAAAAAAAAAAAGAGGTAAGACCTCGAAGGCCCATGCATAGTCAGATACTCTTCCGGGTCTTCCCTCTCGTTACTCTTGTACTTGCACTGCTGCAGGACGTTTCGCTTCTGCTACTCAGCTGCAGGCGAGCACACTGGCTGAGTAGCAGCCCAGAACATCCCGCCTGGCTCTTCCTGAGCACCAGACCTGCATCACGCCACAACACCAAGCCTGCAGGCGCGGCAGGGAACACATGAAAACAGACAGACAGACGGCAACAAAATTTTCATGCAGTCACCTCCACCGTCGTCCAGAGCATTCCTCATATCCTCTTTACCCTCTTACAAACAGTTGCAACAAAGTTACAAAGCTCAGTCCGGTGTTTCAGCGACACTTAAGCTCATGTCGTGATTCCGCAGTGCGAGGAGGAACTGCGTGGGGAGCAAGACACGTGCTAGAACTTATCATCATATTCATGGTGAGGGAAACGCCCGCACAGGCCGCACATGACTGTGCTTGTTTCTGACATCAGGTACACATAGATAAGCTAGTAGATATATAAGGCATGCTCTTTTTTGTTCGTGTACGTGTGTGTGTGTGTGTGTGTGTGTGTGTGTGTGTGTGTGTGTGTGTGTGTGTGTGTGTGTGTGTGTGTGCGTGTGTGTACCTACATCCGCGTGGGCGGCCGTGTACGCAAGAGGAGGCTCTGAACAGGGGGAGTTGTAAGAAAGAAGATTAAAAATGAATAAAGTTTTTCTTGTTTTCCTTGTTTTCTTTCGTTTTTCGCTTTGGCGCTCTGATATCATGTGATATATATATATATATATATATACAGAGAGAGAGAGAGAGAGAGAGAGAGA